AATTATTCTTTTACTTACATTTGTTGTTACACTATATAATGTATGCTGCATATTAATTATAAAGTAAGGATATATTCTGTAGAATTTATTTAAATTTTTTATTTATCTAACTAGTTTTTGTCGCAATTAAGACTCTCTTAAACTGATACAAAGAATATATAGATCATGTGAAGAGTTTTGTCTAGATTTAAAATAATGGTGATTAAATTATTGAAGAAAGCTTGAATGAAGTGCACGTTTATTGCCAGTAGTTATTCTTTCTTAAGTTTCGTTGTGAAACTATATAAATTTATGTCGAATATGATCTATAAAACGTACGTGAATTATGGTTTTTCTAATTAATTTTTGCATTAATTAAGACTATTAAACTGGTATGACAAAGAAAATAAAAATCTTGTTAAGAGTTTTTTCAATTCAGAAAATCTGTTACACAATTATTATCGTCCTACTCATATATTTTTATTATAGATTTTGTCACTTATATATTGCCTTTTACCACCTTCTTGACAGAAAATATGCTGGCAAAAAATTATTTGATGAAAAAATAGTTTTTTTTTTAACTGTTAAATAGAATTACACCAAGCATAATTATTTTGTTATTCTATACTCATTTAAAATGACAATGATTTTAATATTTTAAAAGTTGTTTGATATTAAGTTGGTAGTCAATAGTGAATTCTGCATTTAATACTGTCCTACTCATATAATATCATCTTACTTTAGTATTTTCACGCCCGTCCATCTATAAAATTATGAAAAGGACGAAACATCAATGATTAATTGATTGAAGAAAGCTCGATTGAAGTGTACCACAGAAAGTAATTCGACCATATATTTGAGTTGAAAAAAGGTATGTTGTCATTTCTTCATCTTCATTACGCTTTTAGTTTTCTATCTTCGCTGAGTTCTAATATTTGTCAACATGCATGCATATGATTCTATTTTTACGCTTCATTTGAGCACCGTAAGTGATGTATGGACGTTTTTGAAATGACTTAAAAATGAAATGGAAAATCATAATGAGAATTGTTCCTTAAAATTCTAAAATTTTATACCATGTTTCTAAGTTGAGGTTCTTGAAAAAAATATTTCATCGCTTATGCAAAGATAATTTTTTGCGGATCATAGAACGATTCATTAAAGTTTTCCCTATCTTTCAGTTTGTTCATTATACCTATTGCTTGTTTGGTCAAGTCAGCTTTAAAAAAAAAAAAAAAAAAAGGCACTATTTTTAGTTACTTTATTTAATTCACTTACAAGGAAATAATTAATAAATACCTAGATTTGATCAATTGTTAACAATATATTTTTGTCTTACTAAGCCCCTGTTTGGTGGCCATTATTTCCCAAAAAATAAAAAAATAAAAAAAATCCATGGCTTTGAATTGTATTTCTAGGAGTATGTGTGATAAAAAAAAGTAGAGAAAATTTTTTATCTACATGCAGAATATTTTATTGTGTGAATTTGGTAAAATATATTTCTATAACAAAATGAGTTTTAAAACAATCGACACCAAATAGGGGCTAATAGAGTTAAAGATGTTTAAGTTATTTAAAAGGACGTCCTCGTGCTTTTTTATCTCACGAGTTCTGCACGTGTGTTGCTTATAATGATTCTTTTAGTTATGTTTTGTTGTGAAACCATATTTATGTTGTATTCATGAAGTGAGAATGCATTTGTTACAAAATATTTTAGTTCTGGTTTTTTGTAATTAATTTTTTAATATTGTTATTCATAGTCACTCATTACAGTAATCATCCTATATGGTAGCTTGTGATTTGATGTATTAAGATAGTAGTTTTTTTATTACCTCATATGTCAAATCACTAATCGTCACATATATGCTACGTAGGACGACTGCGATAATGAGTGGTTGTAAATAGAATTATTCTTAATTTTTATTTTCAATAATTAAGATATTTATGTTAATATATATAGTAATAATATTGATAAAAGAAATAGTCAATTTGGTTGTGTAAGGGTGTAAATTACTGTAATATAAAATTGTATTTTTTAAGGTAAAAATAAGATTTTATTTTGTTAATTTATACAAAAATATGCATGCTAAAATAAAAATATAATTTTAAACATAAAAATATTATAATTAAAATAACATTAAATTGAATGATGAACTAGAAATTATGAAATATTGGTGAGTGTATAGCATAGATGAGTGATTAAAGGCAGATTTATCATGATTAGATATGAGGGAAAACATGATAAGAATATATTAATGATAGTAGTAAGATCACATATCGTTCTTTCACTGGCTTTTATAGTACTAATAGTTATTCAAAGCACGTATATCGTGATTATAAAATGACGAGGCACGATAAGAATATCTCAATGATAATAACAAGATTGGATATCGGTCTTTTATTATTATTATTATTATTATTTTTTACCAAAACTTCATATTTTTTATTTTTCCACTCGAGTGAATAGTTGCCTCTACAACTTAACATATGACAATCTCTTTCAAGTGCACATTTGGAAAATTTTCTAATTTGGCACGTATGTTTGTTCTTGTGATTGTTTTGTTACAAAATTATAAGTAATTAAGATAAAATGAGCAGAAAATTCTTAATCCAATATACTTTTTTGAATCTTATCAAAATATATCTAAAAATTTGAACAAAGTACTAGATGATCTTAATTCGCTCAAAAGTAATTAAAAGACATTTATTGAATTGATTATTATTATTATAGAGCGTCTTTAATTTTAATACACAGAAATAAATAAATAAATATAAGTGAATTGTCACCAACTTAAAATTGAGAAATTTGTTGTTCGAGGAACAATGCTATATAGCATTGATGATTCTTAGCACAAATACAGGCAGTGGTAAGTATCATCCAATAAAGTTGAGATGCATTGACTTTTTTAATGTCAAGTTATAACATGTAGAGTGTTTTGATTACCAATATTTTCTATGAAAAATGTCATTTTGTCATCCAAATTCTTAAATTTATATGTCATTTGATTCATACTTTTTTCTGTGAAAAATATTTTTTTACTTTTGATCATGTAACCATATTTTTCTTATTTTTCCTTGAAAATAAAGAAAATATTTTCATTAGGGGAGTATGTTTTCATTTTCTACGTAATTCATTCTCTCTCTCTCTCTCATCTACCTCTTCTCTCTCTAATCTACCTACTAATCAAAAATAGACAAATATAACATTTATTATATTGAAAATAAAATCAATCAAACACATTTATTGACAATTTTCATACAAATAATTTTTAGACAATTCAATTGCATATAATTTATTTTTTTCCACATAAATTTCATACTCGTCATCAAATACACCCGTAGGGATTCTATCCCATTTCTCATGGCTTGTTTGGTAGAGTGAACCGACTCGTACTAAATAGTATTATATAACAAAAACATGACAAAATCTTCTTTATTTATATAAACATGCCCTCAACACCTTGACATGCAACTGAAAAATGCTTCCATTTAGCTACAATTTACAAATTGGTTTATAAATTCAATCCAAGTCCAACATTAATTTCAATCGCACATTTATAATTATCACTCACCATTATCCACATATTTGCAGGGTCCACTGTTATTCTTATTACCATTTATAAATTAGCCAAACAGAATCTAATTCACCTAGGAATTTAAATCAAACCTTCATAACTCAAGAATTATAAAACTCACAATATTTGATAAAGAAAAAGGGAGTTTCAAGGTATTACAGTGACACACATCAAGGCTGAAGCCATTAACTCGTCAGCAATAAAGCCAATGCAAAGATTCCCTCTATAAAGGTATGTACTACAGAATATGCAAATAATGGTAGAAAGCAGAACATAAATGGAAATGAACTAAGATAGGAAAAACAAAGTACCACCAAAGCGAAATGCATAGGCACCAAATCAATCAAATGACGTGACCTGCAAACTTGACTGTAATTACAAGTTAGTGGATCAGAGGGTGGAGAAAAACAAGCTTTACCCTCCTACTTCCAGGATAATAAATTGTCATTCTGTGTGTGAGTTCATGGTGGTTAGCGGCTGTGACAACTACTGCCAAATCATATAGAACTTGTTGGGATCGAACAAAATGCAAAGTATACAATATTGCATGATCCCATATCTGAAACCATTGCTACATTTAGAGAAAATGTTCTGCCATTATAACCAGGGAACGAATATATGAAACTGGAATTGAAGGTAAAGAGGGAAGAGGGGGGGAGGGGGGAGCCATATGTTACTTAAAATATTTATTATTTAACGAAGAGAAGAGAATGAACCAGTATCTAAATAGTACGTCGTTTATTTTGAAATAATTACTATATGCAGAAGAAACAATAACAATATGATCATATTTCTAATGCTCTGTAAACATTTTGACAAAACGAAATAGAATTTTTCGTAGTATCTAGGTTCAAATAAATTGTCTCCAAGCAAGGATAAAGACACCATGCATATAAAGATAGACACTGCAACGATGTTTACAAAATTCCATAATGGACATGTAAAATCCTAAAGGAAAAACCAAGACCTCTCTAATCACATCAAACAATAACAATTTTTCTATTGTAACAAAGCGAAGTCTCATATAACTGATTGTAATGCTGCACCATGCTGAGTACTACAACAAAGAGGATATTACTTTCAGAGAAACAGAATAAAAAAGTTAACTGCTACAAAAAAAAAAAAAAGGTTGACATTAAAGAAGGCCACCACTGGGAACTTGAAACAACCCACCCACCCCCAACAAGAAAAAAATGAAAAGGAAATCCTTCTCGCCCTCTTAAATGTAAAGAAGCACAACCTATAGTATATGTTAATAGTGTGTGTAAAGTCAAAAGTTTTAATAAGAAGCTAAACTTATCCACTATACACTGAGAGTTGCACCTCAAACACTTGACAAGTCCCTGTCACAACGAAGTATCAAATCCAAGTAAAAAGATATCACAAAGGACCTGGCTGATAACCAGCATTCTCCAAGATGAAATTATGGAAATTATGGCCAAGACATGTTATCAACATTATATATAATTCATGAGCCCAAGATATGTTTCCAACAGCCAATGTAATTTGTGAGGACAAATCCATGTAAAATTTAGTTTCTCAAATAAAAAATGCAGTACATGTACAAAATCATTACAGTATATGGAGTGTGTGGATATCTTTCACAAAACTCGAGCCCAATACATCCAAACCAGTAAAGAAGAACACATCAGCTACCTGAATGTAGGTGGTGAAACTTTCAGTTAATGCAGAAAAACATACCTTTTCCCTCATTTTAGGTACTTTTTCTTCTCATGTTAATGTAGGTGGTGAAACTTTCAGTTAATGCAGAAAAACATACCTTTTCCCTCATTTTAGGTACTTTTTCTTCTCATGTTGTGCAGAATAAGGGGTGTTCCCTCGAATAGATCCAACAAATAATTCTCCAAATCCTCGCCAGTGTATTTTATGTATTTTCCAGCATTCCTCCCACTTTCTAAATGATTCCCAAACCTTCCCAAAAACGAGCGGTAAGCTGGAATGACTTTTTCTGAAATTGATATTCGAAGCTCTTCACGTAGCTGAGGATCTGGAACCTTCCAACCAGTCTGAATCCGATATATATCTTCAAAGCATGCATTAAAATTCTTAAATCTCTCCTTCAGAACCACCTTCGAGACATTGCTTGAGCTCCCACCTGTCCCTTCATCTTTCAAACAAGATAAGACCTTGCTCCAAGTTGCCCTAAGATAATACGTCGAATACTGTCGAATCTGACCCCCTCGTTTTCTAATCCAGTTATCTCCCAAAAGGTTTCGAAGCTGTGAGTCTTTCACTTTCTGGACGATGTAAAGTATATTGTTCATTAAAAATATATTCTGCAGTGCATTATCGTCATACATTCTCGACTTCTCCTCAAGATTTGATTCCAATGATTTGATCAGTGCCAGTAGACGTCGAGCTACCAGTGACATGTTATCCACCTCCAAATTATCTTTATTCTCACTCAGTGTTTCTCGTGATTTTTCCTCCACATTCTCCAAAAGCGCATTAAGAGTATCCGTATAATCCACGAGCAGTTTCACATAATTCATAACATAGCGTGAGAGTGGGTGAATCTCACCATTTGGTATCGGCTTCTTAGAAGCCTCCCCCTTAACCGCATTCTCAAACTCTACGAAAATCCCAATGGCTGCATAGCCCAAACCATCCAACACGCCCTTGGTATCGATACAAACCATCTCACCAGCTTCTTCATCCATAAATAGCGCCTGCAAATCAGGCAAAACCACAGCCAAAGTTTCATACATATCAAGAACCCGAAAAAGTTTCTCGGAGGACCTCCTCCCTATTGCAACTGCCTCACCAAAACTCAATAACTGCATCACACAACCTTTCGACGTCTCCAAAAAGCAAACCTCCTTGATCAAATCAGACTCACTAAAGATCTGCTCACAGAGGCGTTTTTCACTTGACAAAAGACCCCGAACAACGACTTTAACAGCTTGAATCCACTTCTTCATTTTTTCATCCAATAAAGGCCATTCAATCCTCTGGACCTCCTCAATGCTCAACACCTCTACTCCAAGGATCGTCAAACATTCATCAAGAACATCACGGCGAACAGTACAATAAACCTGGCAACATTCCTTTTCATACCCGGATCGTATCATCCGATCTGCAATCTCTTTCAGATCAATCACCGCATCTGGATGAACCAAATCAAGGGAAATATCATCTCCCCCCAAACTCACCCCACGACTGTACCTACGCTGACTATATCCCCCACTGCTAACATCATCCAGATTCACACTCGCGTCATCATTAAAAAGCTCCGTCGCAGCCACAGCCATTGCCGCAGAAAACGACGAGAGAGAAGAACGATGAAGGCGATCCGGGTCAAGAGGAACCGTATTACCAATCAAGATATGCCTAAACTCATCCTCCAAGCGCGTCATCGCCAATTGCAGTGCGTTCTCCGCCCTATCCATAACATCATCCTTCACATCTCCCACCCTAGTTTCCGCTTCCCGATTATTCAAATTCAATTCCTCAGTCAATTCTATAATCTCATCAATAGCATTCCAATAATCCTCGCTTATTGAAGACGAATTTACCCCATTGAGAATGATCTTCTCAGCAGCCTCAAATCGCGGGTCGTCGGAAGGTGGGTCCTCGCCGGAGACAAAGGAGGAGAGATTGGAGAGGCGGTTGTCGAAGGCCGAGAGAATCAGCAACATATCATCGGCGTCTGAAGTGTTGTTAAGGCTCTGAACGATCCTTTGTGCAGTGGCTAAAACCTTATCTTCTCCTTCTACAGTTGCTGCCATTGCGATCACCTTCCCAATGTGAAAATGTATCGATTCAAATGGGTTTTGTGCAAATAAGGGTTCGGGATTTTCGGGAGGCGAAAATTCAAGGATCCAAACATTTGGTTTCCATTATTATTGATTTTTCTCTGAGTGAACTCCGTGTGTGTGTGTGTGTGTGTTGACGATTGAATTTCTGAAATAGAGAAACGACGACGTAAGCTGCTTTCGGACCGGACCGTTAGGTTTGGGTCTGACAGGTGATCAGGCCGGGCCGGCTTGTTTTGATGACATCCTCAGCGGGTGTGAAAGATGCCGTCGTGTGCAATGGTGCGGGCCAGGGTTTGAATTAAAATATTTTATTATTTCTTTATTTGTTATTATATAAAATACAAGTTAAATTTAAAACTAAAATAAAATAAAAAATGACTTTCGAATAGGACAAGATAGGATAGGAATGAGGTGTTTTTTCATCCCTAGCGACTTGTTGAACATTTTCATGGAAAAGTTCCAATTGAACCCAGATCTGTTTTAAATTGATCTATAGGATTGAGTTTCAATTAAAATTTAACTCAATTAAATTGGATAAAATCTTCTTTTAGTCGGATTAACTTGAATCTAGAAGTAAAAAAAAAAAAAACAAATATATTATCAACGACCAACTAGTTAATATCTTGATTAATTGCGAAAAAGTTATATCAAGATACGTAGAAGTCGTGCAACAAGTAAAGTTGGATTTCAATTCTATCGTATATTCATTCGAGATGACGATTGAACTTGCTTCGACGTTAATTTCCTTGCACTGTGGGACTAAAAGCTTTGGCTAAAGCACCGAAGAAGGGTTGGAAGGAGCAAAAGCCATGACTAAATCCTATCGGCAAAGTGGTGGGTCAAAGAACATTTAGGAAAAAGGAACAACACCCACTCACACTACACTACAGATTTCACTTATAAATACAACCCTAACATCACTCAAATTAGATATTGTTTTTAGAAAAAATACAAGAACAGAAGAGTCCAGAAAACCCTCAGAGAGAAGACAAAGAAAACCCTAGAACCTTTCACTTAGCACACGGCAAAAATGAAGAGTCAAGAGACTTTAATATTCCACCAGAAAATATCAACAATCCAACGATCACAAAGGTGCCAAGTGTAAGGTCCACAACAGTCATCCCTTACTAAGGAAAAACGTGTTTTCAAAAACACTTTTCATTTCCAAACCATTTCAACCCGTTGAATCAACCAACCCAACAGGGCACAATACCACTAAACTGGGTCAGTCAAGAATAGAGAGACAGCCCACCAACACCCATAAATGTATTTGAATTTGTTGACACATGAAAATTCAGCCCAAATCGAACGGCCCAAGGAATGAAACCCAATTGGAGGATCCCCAAATCAGATAGCCCAAAGAACGAAGCCCAATCAAACAATTCAAGATGAAGGCCCAAATGGGGAGGCCCAAGAACGCGGTAACGCCATCGTCCAAGTTTGCAAGTCGTCCAGAATCTGAGCGAATGGAGTGTCATGCAGTCACCCAGAGCTGTTACTCTATTCTTGCCCAAACCTTCAAGTCACCCAAGGTCTTAGCAAACATAAAGCGTTGTGATTATCAAGAAGTGCAGTTATCAAAGCAGTTATTAAAGCAGCCCTATCACGTTCTACGATTTAAGGAATTCAATCGAAAATGGTTGAACAACGAAGAGTAATGACAGCAGTTTAAAAAGACAGTTTTCATTACAAGTTGGCCATTACGAGGAAAGTGGGCAGTTGTAGAACGATCAAACAGTTTTTAGGCGGTTGATCACAAAGAGATCATCCATGGAGTATAAAAGGGAGAAAAAATATAGAGCAAAGGGACCGAATAAAAAATTCTCAAACAGAGAACATGTAATTTTAAATTCCTTAGCTTAAAGTTAAACACTTTTTTTTAGTAACTCGTGTGCTTGCGCCCCTTGGAGGCATTTTGTTTTTTATTTCCAATTGTAAAGTCATCGCCAATAAAAGAACACCCCTTTTTAGGACTTTGTCTCAAGAGGTTTGTCCCTTACACAATCGTCTGATCCCTTTTAATTGTTAGCGACTAACCCGCGCGAAACAATTTGGCACGTCCGATGGGATAGTGGTGTTTGGTGTTGAAAATACAAAAAGGTGAAACAATATGCCTCAGAGATCCGATAAGGAAGCAGCAAGTCAGGGAGGAGTCCAGTCTGTGATCGAGCGATATGAGGAGCAGCATGCCTCTCCAAGAGCAGATGGACAGAATCAGAGTAGTAACAGTCATTACGAAACAATGATGGAGTTGAGTCCTTGAACCATGCGTGCATTACTTGGAGAACGCACACAAGACGTCGTTGAACAGGTAAATCTTCGAAGTATTCATAATATGGAAATATTCACCCAAAATGGGAATACACATTATGACAACATGGCCAAACAACTAAACACTTTGAACGAAACAATGAATAAGTTAGTAGGCCAAATATGTCAACCGGTTATACCTCTTGCAAATCACTTTCAAACTAGGACAATTGTAGGACATAATCCCTCAGTCCTAAATCTGAATCAAGGAGTAGAACCACTTTCTAGTCCCTCTACTTCAAACCAAGGGGGTACTGTGGTGCTAAATCAGAACAATGGTAGTAGTACGCCTAACTTGGGGGGTAATCCAAACATAAGAGATAATGTCCTAAACAATGGACAGAATACCCCACGTGTTAATGAGGGAATAGATGTTCAGGCTAATGGTAATGGCCCTAATTATGGTAATTTTATTGCCAATCAAGGACCAAACATCAGGCCTCATGCAAATCAACCGGTTAACCAGCTTGTAAGAATTACATATGACTCCAACGTCATGTTGAGGAATCAGATTATGGAAATCGTACAGGATCAGATGGCTTTTGGGGTGCGTCCCGTCGTTAGGCCGACTTACACAAAGTCATATCCTGATTGAGTAGACCAAGCATATCCATGGCCTAGAGGGTACAAAGTGCCAGAATTCTCACTGTTTACCGGTTTAGGAGAGGTGTCTACTTTAGAACACATAGGGCAATTCACATTGCAAAGCGGTGATGTAATCGATAACCATAAAATGAGGCTTTTCCTTAGTTCATTAACAGGAGTAGCTTTCTCCTGGTTCATTAACTTGCCAGCGAACTCTGTTCAAACATGGCAACAATTGGAACAGCTATTTCACGCTCAATTTTATAAAACTGAGTCTGAAGTCGCTTTGGCTGATTTGACGAATCTACGTCAAATGCCAAACGAATGGGCAGAAAGTTTTCTCCAAAGGTTCAAGACAGCAAGAAGCAAGTGTTTTGTACCTCTGCCTAAAAAAGAATTTGTCAAAATCTCTTAGGGCTGCTTGAGCTTTGATTTAAAAAAGAAATTTCAGGACAAGGAATTTCCTAACCTTTTCCAGTTGAGTGCGAATGTGATTAGGTATGAACGGCTGATAAGAGAGGAAGAACAGATGAAAAATTCTAGTAAAGGGACTTATTACAAAGACCCAAATTTTGACGTTCATACCATCAACGACGAGTCATACGATCAGGCCGAAATGTGTTTGGCCGAATTGGTCAAAGGAGATACGTATACTTGTCCCATAATGGCCAAGCCTAGACCATCGGGCAAAGATGAGCCCATAAAAGATGGAAACATAAAGGCTAGAACGTTCTCGTTCGATATAACCAAAGCTGACCTTATATTTGATAAATTATATAGGGATAAGCAGATAAAGTTGAGCGATAAGCACAAATTGCCAAATCCTGAACAAATTAAGGGTAAAAAATATTGTAAGTGGCATAATGTATGGTCACATTTGACTAACAATTGCTTGGTTTTTCGCCATGTATTGCAGGATGCCATTGAATCAGGACGAATTACGTTCGACGATAAGAAGAAGATGACAGTGGATGAAAATCCTTTTCCACAACCACTTGGAGTGAACATGGTGACGTCTGGTTTCAAAAACAAGTTGCCAAAATTCAAGTTGGTCATAGATGATGGAGAAGAAGATCCTAGACCACATCCCAGTGTCTTTGAACGAATCAAGGGGAAAGAACTAAAAAAGGACGAAGACGTCCTGTGTGCAAGTTGTAAAAGAGAAGTGAATAGAAATACGGAGAAACCAGGGATATGGCAGCATCCCCATCGCCCTGCTTTCTTCCCAAACACCCAGCTTGGTAGAGGGCGAGGTACATCATTCTATAGAGGACCGCCTTTTGAGAGGCAGTTCAGGCCAGCAGATAATGGAAGAACATTCAGGCTGCAACCTCGCGCGGCCAAATGTATGGCATTCATTCTAGTATAATGCAGGAGGGGCAATACCCTTCGATGAGATGACTAGAACCCAACAAAGACGTTTCCAATGAAACTATGGACGAATGATGAGGCAGCAACAGGGAGTGCCACATCCTAAAACGCCTAAACTTCTCAAGGTAGCCAATCAAAATGTCCTCAAAGATCGTGAAGAGACTGGTACAGATGAATCAATGAAAGAACTGGCAGAAACTTCTTCTGGGAGATCAAAGTTTGAGCTGGACAGAAAGGATGGAGAAGATCCAGATCAGCCCCTTACTATCCAATTTGGTACGTTACCTCCTGTCATGGTCAATAATTACTTACTGGCCAATGAATTCAAGAATAAAGAAAAAGAAGAAGAAGAAAGGGAGGACAACGAAGGAGAGGCTTGCGTGCTGGAATGTGAAGAAGGCCAGACTTCTAGAGAGGCCTACAATGATGAAGAAGACGAAGGGATGACAGACATTGAAGAAGAAATTGACCTAGAAGCAGAAGGAAGAAAGAGAGGAGTATCGCGCAATACTCTGTTGAAGCAACTACATCGAGAGGGAGTTCGCGAAGTAGACTTGTTGGGAGAACCATCTGGGCGTCCTTTCGATTTCTACGTACTATACGGGACACCCAAAAGGAAGAAGAGAGTGCCTCGCTCTGAAAAGTATGGATCACCTCCAAGAATAATGCCCCTCCCACAGGTTGGGTAACTGATGAGGAAGTATTAGAAAAAAGTAAGAAGGAAGTTCATGAGATAGAGGATCAGCGCGATATACTGCACGTCGACTTATCATAGGGAGATAATTCGACAGAAAATAAGCAGGAAGTAGAAATAGAGGCTGCCAAAAAAGTTATTTTTAAACGACCAGCCATGAAATTGACTAAACACTTTAGGCCATTGTACGTTAAAGCTCTAGTTAACGGCATCCCAGTGGCAAAAGTGCTTGTCGACAATGGAACAGCTATAAACAGCATTCCAT